GTACACACACACACACAGACTGCTGAATACACACACACAGACTGCTGAATACACACACACAGACTGCTGAATACACACAGACTGAGTACACACACACAGACTGCTGAGTACATACACACAGTCTGCTGAATACACGCAAACACACACAGACTGCTGAATACACGCACACACACACAGACTGCTGAATACACACATACTGCATTGAGGTGCGGGGTGCGTGTGTGAGTGTTGTATATGAGGGGTGCTGCGGGGAGGTAGGGGTACTGTGTGTGGGGGGTAGGGGTACTGTGTGTGGGGGGTAGGGGTACTGCTGGGAGGGTTGGGGTACTGTGTGTGTGGGGTAGGAGTACTGCTGTCCTCTCGCGCAATGCTGTGTGGAGCGTTGCCATGGTAACGCGCGGCAACGCTCCACACAGCATCGCGCGGGAGGACAGGGGAGCTGCTTCCTAGAGCCCTCCCCCTGCCTCCCGACCCGGAAGCAGAGTAGGCGCCTGCCGTTTCGGGCAGACAGGCGCCTACTCTGCATTGATGGCGGACCTGTGGCCGCGTGCCCACAGAAAGGGCCCGGCGTGCCACCTGTGGCACGCGTGCCAGAGGTTCGCCATCACTGGTATAAGGTGTCACAGTCGCCTCATTCCAGGGCTCTATTAAACCTTGCACTGCAGAAAGTCCCAGGAGAAAGCATTTCCCAAGTAAATGGATTGCTTTCATAAGAGCGGGCATTAGGTTGCTAGTATAGGACCTGCCAAGAATAAGCATTGTGGGTGGCTTATGCAATGTATGCCATTACACAGGTACTCCTCACTTAACAACTTACCTGCATAACGACTGCTCAGACATACGACCAGCTCTCTAGCACAGAGAATTTCCCGAATCTGAGTCTCGGAAATTCCCCCGAACATAGATTTGAGAGATTCCCCATGCTAGAGAGTAGTCTATGTTCAAGGGAATTCGCCGAACATAGACCAGCTCTCTAGCGCATGCAAGACTTGGATGTCGTGCCAGTCCTTGCTTACAGACCAATTCACTTGTTATACGAACGGAACTCGGTCGGTAAGTGAGGAGTGCCTGTGTATAGAGAGAGAGAGAGCGAGAGAGAGAGAAAGAGTTCGGTTTTTTTATTTGTATGATTTTGCAGTGAAAATTGTTTGTCCCTCCCTTATGCCTGGTTTAAACATAAGTTTAAACATAAGATCTCTCTATACAGGAAGTGTTTAGGAAGACTACAGAGAGGTGTAAATAGGGCTGCATAAACAAAGTGAGTTAACTCCTAAATGGCAGAGAGTTCATCAATGAGAGTGCAGCGGCATGATCTATACACCCAAACTGCTTTATTTTGCTAAAATTGCTTTGGTGCCAGTAGTGTCCCTTTAAGTATGTCGCAGTAAAAGCAAAAGGGCACAGAGATGGCATGAGTGAAATGAAATATAATATAGGGCCATGCATCTTCCTTCCTTTCTTGCTTCTGTAAGATGTAAGTGTTTAACATAAGCACATAACACCAGCCTGTACTTCATAGCAAATATATGAGTAATATATATTATTTTATGTACTGTTATATTTTTTTACACAGGATTAGAGTTGAAGCCACATGACCCTCTTACTGATGGATTCTTGAAAATAAATAAAAAGCACTTTGGGTTTTTCCGGGTAAATTATGACACTCACAATTGGAATGAACTGTCTAATTTATTACTGACCAACCATACGGTAAGCATCAATATAAACAATAAACTGATGAAATGTTTAAACCAACTTTCATTTTTTTACAATATACAAGATTTTTTATGATATATATTAATAAAAGAAAACGCTGTCTGTTTTCAGGTTTTCACTGTTTATAGTTGAGTAACACTAGTAAACACCATTTTTATACAGGTATAACCATCTGATGTTTATTAAGAAGCGTGCATTTTCTGCCTAATGGGGGGCCACAACACATTTTGTTATGGTGCGCAACTTTGGATTTTTATTTTTATTTTTAAATGTGGTCAGCTATTGAAAATTTAGCCACAATTGATCATTTATATGTTATGTATCAAAAAGACTAAAACTTAAAGGAACACTCTAAGCATCATTTGCAATAAAGCACGCAGTAGAAGTTATGGTGCCAGAAGTTCTCTGATGCCCCTGATTGTAAGTAGTTACACCTCTACCTCTACTGCAGAATTTTAAATTATTTGTCTTCCTAATTACAGCCGTACTGTCCTCATGCAATCTTTATTGGTGAATTTCATAATGCCTATTAATAGCATGATTTCCCATTTGAAGTTACCGCCGGTATCATAATGCTGTTAAGAGGCATTATGTAAATGCCTATTAAATGTAATTTCATTCTAACTGTATTTTGTTATTAATATATATATATATATATATATATATATGTAACAAAATACACTTAGAATGACATTCTATATATATATATATATATATATATATATATATATATATCTTTCTATATATAAAATACAAATAACCGCAAGGGAAGTCATTAAGTAATGTGCCCCGGGGTGGCCAACATTTCGCATAGATGAACGCAGTCCAGGGTGAGCATCTGTATCCCGAAAGGAGCCGCTTACCTTGCAGGGTTTCACACAGGAACATTGCGAGTGGAGACTGGTTGAGTAAGGCACCACTGTGAGGGTCCCTGAGGTTGGTGTGGACACTTTTGGGGCACTGGCTAGGTTGGCGGGCTTTCCGATACCTGCAGGACAAAGAGACCAGCTCTTTTCCCGTGGTCAGGCTTTTCTGTGCCTGGGAGACAAAGGGACAGTCCCTTTTTCCCGCGCCTGGACTCCCAGGCACAGAGGCTTCTGGGAAGAGGACCCTTGGCGGTTGGTGTGGGAAATCCTGTGGTTTCAGTGGCGGCCTTTGGGGACAAAGGGAACGGAGTCACTTCCCACGCTAGGACCCCAGGGAGGGGGAGGATCCTGGGATGTGACCCCGTATGATTGTGTGGTAGACCTCTTGCATCTGGTTATGCATAAAAGCCGTGTGTGGCCAATAAAATTGTGTTGTACCTCTAGAACTCGGTGTCGTCCAGTTACTGGGGGGGAAATGGGTCTTTTATCATTATAAGTGGTTCCTGAGTGGCTGAAGGAAGGAATTAGCTGGGGTCCGTTGCAGTGTCACATACATCACAGAAAAGGTGGGGTAGGGAAGGAGGAACGAGACTATCTAGGTACCTGTTAATGCACTCGGAGCATGCTAACAGTCCACAGGTTAGGGTGTGCAATACTTGCCTTGTCTTAGGTGCTGGCGACCCATGCTACACCACTGACTGCAGCATAGTGAGACACGGAATCCCTTGCTCAGGAGCTTACATTAGCTCTCACAGACAAAGCCCTGTATTCCAAGGCTAGCTTCATTGCCTGAGTCTGTCAGTCGATCGGTTTCACACAATGAGCTAAGCCCTACATTGGCTATCTTAGCTCAGGGAAAACTGCATCCAGCTCTTACCCAGGTGTTGTAGAGGTGAGGAGATCCCCCCGGCAGACACCAGATGAAAGGTTGAACTTCTCTAAAATAGTTAGACTAGTTAGAATGGGGGATGCTAGGACACTACTGACACCATAACTACTACAGATTGCGGTAGTGGCTATGGGGCTTGGGATGTTCCTTTAACAATCTTTTTTTTTCCAAACAAACTTTACTTATATTTGAGAATCCACTATTTTAAAGCATGTTGCATCTTTACTTGAGGTGTAAGTAACATTGTGGGCAATTTATTAATTTTGTTTATTTCTGTAGATTTTTTCTGAAGGAGATCGAGCAGGTATAATTGATGATGGTTTTGCTTTGGCAAGGTGGGTTATAGAGCGTTTGCTCATTTCATTTTTCCCTTAATTTTATAACCTACAGGTAAGCTTCATTGTGAAATCAGTATATTTCTATAAGTAAACAAGCCTTTAGATGAAGTATTTTCTATAACTAAAAAGCATTCATTTCTGTCAGCACTTGTCTGTCAAATTTCTAATTCTGCTTAGTACAGAATATACTTAGTATATAATATAATAAATATAACACTAGACCAGCATTAATGAAATTCGTGAGAAAATTCCATAGCATTAAATCTTAACAAAAAGAGAAATTGGAGATTCTATGGGCTTTCTGAAATGACTCAATAACTCTAATGTAAAATACCTTGGGAGAATCTACTTTTGCAAACAGTATGCCATGA